ACTAACCATGTCGGGCCTGACTTGGGAGGGGAACCATGCTGCCCAAGACCGGCACAGCATGGCACGACACGGATGGCATCCAAGCTGCCTACAATCTGTGTTGTCCCAGCACGGCATGGCCCACATTAAAGGTCTAACTTGAAGTCCCTTGTATCAGAAGCTTCCTGTTTCTTTGGGATTAAGGAGATAAAGGTGGCATTTGTTGCCATCAATAGTTGCGGAGTTTGCATGGAAATCAGTAAACACCTCCACAAGATCTTGCTTCAAAAAATCCCAACACTTTTTATAGAACGTGATTGGAAATCCCCAACCAATTCATTAATCACCTCAAAAATCTCCTCCTTGGCTCCTCATCAAATCAAATGGCCTCTCCAAGCCACCACTTTCTTGGGCTAAGGTTTGGAAGAAATGAAGTCCATCAAATTTCAGCCTTACCATGTCATTTGTTGAAAATAGTCTTATGTAGAACTCCGCAATTGCCCTTCCAATCTCCTTGTTCCCTTCACAGTGCGAACTAGAAATATATATCTAACTAATGACATTTCTTATCCTTCTCACAATGAAAATTTTGTAAAAGAATGTTGTATTTTTGTCCCCCTCTTTTAGCCATTGCACCCTAGATCTTTGCTTCCTAGTAATCTCTTCCATGTTAGCTAACCGACTAAGTCTTGTAGCCTCCCACATCCTCCAATAAGGTAGACTCTTCTCTAGAATCTAGGGCTTGAATCATCCCCAACCACTCCTGTTTCAGGACATGGAGACAGCACAGCTCTTTTTTTTATTTTTTTTGATCAATCAGCACAGCTCATTCTTGCACCACTCTTTTATCCTTTACTTGAGGAACTTCGGCTTGCTCCAAAAGATGTGACAAAGAAAACCCTCTGTTGCCACATCATTCCACCAAGATTTAAGTTTTTTCCATAAAACCTAGCACTTTGAAAAGCATTAGCTCAAGGCAGAAGTGGCTACCTTTGCTCTGGAAAGGACCAACCTTCAGAAAAATCGATTTGTGGTCCAAAGTGGGTCTTGGCAAAGTTTGCTACTAAGGGCCTGTTCGTTTCCTCTTAACTCTTATCTCTTAAGAGGAATCTTTTAACTTCAAGAGAAAAATGTTTGTTTCCTCTTATCTCTTATCTCTTAAAGTGCAATCATACAACTTTTTTGTTTTCCAATGATACCCCCAAAAAGACAAACAAAAACTCTCATAGATGGGGTCAAAGCGGATATTTGATCATTTTCGGAATTCAGAATTCAGAACTCAGAACAACATTCTCTCCATTTAGAGTTCAGAGGAAAGAAAAGTTCACCAATACCAATATACCTCTTAAGGTAATTATTGCACTTTCAGATGTCAGACTTCAGAGCAAACGAACAGGCCCTAAATGTCACTAAAAATGTCCTTCCATCTGCAGTCTATCAAAAACCTTTCTAGGTACGATAAGGATGGTCTTGATCTAAGGCTACTCCATGAGTATTTTGCACCCTATAAGGGAAGACCAATTAAGCTCCACCTATCCACAAAATTACCAAACTGTTTCATGTCTTGCAACAACCTAATATCTCCCCTCTTTTCATGGCAAAAAATAATCACATTAAAATCACCAATAATGCACCATGGTCCATCCCATTTTGTTGGAATACTCTCCAATTCAACCCAAAAGGAATCCTTGAGAGAGTTGGAGCTAGAGCCATACACCACTAAGAAAATCCACTTTTTCCTTCAGCTAGATTGTGAAACACCACTGACAGCGAGATACACCCCACATGCTGGTCAACTTTTTCAAACAAATCTTTAGAATTGCAAAATCTTTAGTAGAAAGCACTAACTTGTGATACAGCAAAAAGGTAAGGAACTGAACACTTGAAAGAAATAAAATGGAAAATTAAGGCAACAAATTATCTATACAAAGGAGAGATTCAAACAGGAAGTGTTGCCAAGATTAATCATTAGGGCTGTTCACAAAGAGAACCAAACCGACCAAACCAGCCTGACCCAACTCGATCTGGTCGGTTTTCCAAGGTTGTCGATCAGTTTTGGTTTAGAAATTGGAACAAACCAAGAGTTTGGTTCAGTTTTGGTTTTCAAATTTGAAAACCAAAACCAACCCGACCCGAGCCGACTATGGTTACTTGGCTTTGGATTAACATAGGTTATTAGGTTTAGGGGTGTATGCTTCATGGTTTGTGGTAACTTAGCTTTGATTAACTTTTTTTTGAAAGCCAGCTTTGTTCAATCTACACTTAAACAATAAGAATCTTTTTGCATAATTCTTGAGGTTGGAAAGTTATACACTAAAACGGAAAGAGGGAAAAGTTCGTTGGGATTTCAGCCAGCCTATAGAACATTAGACTAGTATACTTGTTTGACTCAAAGACACAATGAAACAATGACACAATGACGCTTGACACAAATACAATTTTGGAAAAAGAAATCGGCAAGGCTGCAAAAGCAAATCGACCCCAAGTCCCTGACCTCTTCTCAGTCCTCTGCAACTCTGTAAAGACTTAGTGTGCACTCTTCAAGCCTTCACCATTTTCTTCTTGTTTCTCTTTGAAACTTTGAATAAAAGTTTGAAAATCCTAACTTCCTAAGTCCTGGCCATCGCTCATTCACTACGACTCTGTAACTTCTATGGAGGAGACTGTAAGACTGTATCTGTGAACATCTTTAAGTTTCCAAGGTTGTCAATCTCTAGTGTCTAGTAGTGTGAGAACTGAGAAGTTGGCCATTGTGTGATGTGAAGGACTGGACTAGTGAACTGTGGAATTCTAACTTCTAAGTATGAAGGATTGAATGTGCAATGTGGTAAAGACTAAATAGGTAATGTATTAATGTATATTGTGTTAAACTGTAAAATGACTATATGTCTATTGACTGTAGTTGGTTTGTTGTTTACTTGACACTTCTTTTATCTGTTTAACTTTAACCTCTGTTGTGGGCATGGCCAGCAGACTGACCCAATCAAACCGAGAAACTGACCCAAACCGACAATTCATGGTTGGGTCAGTTTCCCTTACAGTTGGTCGGTTTTGGTTTGCCTGTTCACCAACACAAGAGGTTGGTTTGGTTGGCCAAAATGTTGGCAACCGAACCAACCTGACCCGTGTACACAACTATTAATCATGGATCTAGCATGGTACATGACTGGTAGATATTCTACATAAATCCTATTCTTTTATTCCACTCTGTTTAGTCCACATTAAGTTATGGGCCCTCAGATGATTTCTCACTGATTCGACTTTCATCTCTTGTCCTTTCTGGCTACCCATAGCTCTCCTCAACCCTTTTTTATGGATAGCAGATAACTTCAATTAATATAATAAAAGAGTTAGGTTTATATACAACATGTCATGCATCCCATGTATAGGCTGGTCATTTGCCTTCTATGACCTAACCCACATATTTATTTACAAATGAACCCAGAATAATTGATCCCTATTTACCCCCCAGCTAGCGAAGGTATCAGACAAGTTTTTTACTAATTTTAGCACCCAACTGAAAGATGACTCCAGCTCTCTTGTAATCTGTCCTGCCTCCCTCATAATGTGCCCATCAGCCTATGTTGCCACCTTCTTTTCCTGTTCTTCTTCATCCAGCACACTACCACTTGGGAATCACCTTTTACCAGTATATTCCGTAAGTTCAGTATTCTGCTCACTTTAAGGCCTTGCACAACAGCTAATAATTCAGTCCTTGTGAAGTCTCCTTGATCAACCAGACCTGAGAAAATAGCTCATCTTTAGCACTTGTATCTCTTCTAGGCCCTTCAACTTGGTGAATATTGAGCTTGCCATACACTGTCAGTCCCAAATACAAATAAAGAGGGAGGATCATGTCAGGTTGGCACCAACATTAAAACTGTTCACCAAACTCTTACAAACATGGATCCTGAATCACCTGGTAGATGTTCTGATCGATGAATTATCAAATGAAAAAGGGAAGTAGCATAAATTAAAGCACTTGGTATTGTTTGCAATATCTTTCTACAAACCCTGTACTATAATTTATATTTGGAGAATGTTCTGCATGCTTCCCAATATCAGAAATAATTTGTTGTCCATTGTTAAATACTTGGTCACCACAATTGATCACTTGTACACACCTAACCTCCACATAGAAGATCCATGGGGAGGGAAAATAATTTGATTCAGTGTTTTAAAAGCGCAAGGCACAAAAAAAGGTGCATGGGTCAATTTGTGCCTGAGGCACAAGGCGAGGCATGTGCCTTTTTAAGCAAAGCGCAAAAATTAAAAAAAATGCTAAAAATAAAAAAAATGTCAAAATATCAAAAAATTATTAAACATAATATTAATAAAAATATAAACTTAAAGTTTAAAATAAATGTTTTAAAAAACCTAAATTAAAATACATAAACATAACATGTAGAGCATATTCAAATGAGAATTTAAAAATAAAATCAAACATATAAAACATTTTCAAGCATATAAAACCCACAATCTCTTTTTTTCTCAATTACATTACTTCAAGTAGCTAATGTGACATATTACATTAAACCCAAACAAGTCCACATTAGGGTCTTAAATTCTTAGTTTTCACACAAAAATAATGATTTTATAGTTTTAATTGCTTTTTAAGACGATACTTTATCAGGATGAATGAATGAACAACATTACCAACAGGCTAACCTAAGTAAGCCCTTAGAACATCAAGAATAGTGATGCCATCATCTTAGAACACATCAAATGGTACAAATAGAATTTCCTGAGAATATCACAAGTACCAGGTTGGAACGGGCTGTTGTTGTAAGTTACATATGCATAAAAGAAACGGCTATTATGAGTTGAATTGCCAGTATCAGCATTTGCTAGTTTCATGTTATTCAAGCAATTAATTGTTGAAGATCTCAGAAGGATGAATATGTGAAAAATAAAAGGGAAACTAATAGCAAATAAGGTAAAATTACCATACTTGAAAGAAGCATTTAATCACAACAAGAACTTGCTTTGAAACTAAATAAAGAAAGAGCAAAGATGGCTACCCGAGATTTGCAATTCCATTCATCGGATCTATAAGCTGCGGGGGCGGCGGTGGCTGTTGCTGCTGCTGCGGTGGCGGCGGCAGTTGCTGCTGCTGACTTACTCCAACCGCCACAGCTGCTGCTGAAGCCGGAGCCCCCTTTGCTTCAGCGAATCTCCACATGTACCAGGATGCAACAGAGCGGTAAGGCCTCCACTTCTCGCACAACTGCTCCATCTGAGAAGGCCGGGGCAATTCCTCTAGACCGTAGAGAAGCTGGACACCCTTGCGAACGCCAAGATCCCCAACGGGGAGAACATCCGGTCGGTGGAGAGAGAAAATCATGAACATATGTACGGACCAGGAGCCAATGCCTTTGACCATGGTGAGCATTGTGAATAGGGACTTGTCATCCATGTCTACAATTGAGGCATCGGAGAGGATCCCATTTCGGTACTTGTTGGCGAGGTCATGGAGGTAGCTGGCTTTGCGGCCAGAAACGCCAATTTGACGAAGCTGTTGAGGAGAGAGGGCAAGAACGGCCTCCGGAACGACGCCGGCCTCACCGCCGCAAAGCGAGACGAATCTTGTGTAGATGGAGGTGCCGGCCTTGTAGGCGAGCTGCTGATAGAGAATACTCTTAGTGAGGGCAAGAAATGGGGGATGAAAAGAATCAAATGTTGGTGGCTGGTGGATGTCGATTAAGCGGGCAAGCTGTGGATCGGAGTTGCGTAAGTGCTGAAGGGCCAGAGCAACCTCTCCTTCGCAAGATAATGTCCTTGCAACAACCCTTGGAACAACCCTGACTTGTTTCGCTACGATTCTGCTCTTCTTATTGCTGGTGGTGGTGAGGGCAGTATTATTGTTGGTCTTGTGGTCGCCGTTGGTAGCAGTGGTTTTGCACTCACCGTCGACTATTTTGTTGTCAGAGTTGTCGGAGGAGACATCGGAGGATGTTTTTCTGATTTTCCGCGGTCGGAATGGGATCTTAGTGGATGATGCAGAATTCTGAGGAGCAGAAGAAGCGGTCGTGGTTGGTGGCGCTGGTGCGACTAGTTGAGGAGGATTGGTGGTGATGTCATGGAGAAGCGGAGGAGCAGGAGGAGGAGGAGGAGGAGGAGGAAGAGGAAGGGGTTGCGACTGAGCCTGTGCCTGGGATTGGGATTGGATTTGGGTCTGGGTTGGAGGCTGGGTTTGCTCCCCCATGTATGAGAGAGAGACGGAAGGAGGAAGCTGATGCCGATTTTGAATTGGGGGTTGAATTGGTTGTTGGTTCATAACAACCACACCAACACGATCATCGATCAATCTCCTCACTGCTCACTGCTCACTCTATTTATCCATCTATCCCACTCTCTTCCATCTTCTCTCTCTCTCTCTCGTTCTCTCTCTTTCCTTTCAATTTCAATTTCAATTTTCAAAGGGGAAAAGCCAAAGCCAAAAACAAAAGGAAAAGAAACAAAACCAGTATCTTAATTAGATTGACTAGAGTTATGATGAGAGGCTCGCTTGGGTTGAAGCTCAAAACTACTACAACTCTACAAGTAGTGTGGGGGTGAGAGAGAGAGAGAGACAGAGCGCGACGCGACTCGTGAAACTGAAAGACTCTCGCTCGCTCTATCCGGCGCTTTTAAGATCGACGGCCGGTGTCCTTCCTCCCGTCCCGTTACTGTGCTGCAATAGTTTTTTTTTTTTTTATTGCTTATATTCTCGTTATATCAATTCTCATGTGTGCAAAGGATTGAAAAATTTATGGGCGTGTTTTCCTAATTCGTTTTTGGTCCAATTTCTTAAAGTATCTCTAAGGTCTAGGAAATTGATTAAGTCTATCCTTATTATTTATATATTATTTTAAATCATCTTAAATTTTTTGATAATTATCTAAAACCTTTCGTGATATCACGTGACTGAATTTTTAAAAATTCTAAAATTACCCTTTTATAATAAAAATGCCCTTCTGATTTTGGGTTCATTGAAGCTTGGACCAAGACCCCACTCATCAGGTCGGTTTAGTCGACAGAGAAGAGATCATAAGTTCTTGATAACGTTTGTTTTTTCTCAAAATTTTTTGTTGTTCTTTAACCTTTCCATGGCCTTTTATTGCTTTTGTCATCTTCAATATTTTCAGTTAAAAAGTGAAAGGCAAGAAGGGCTCAAAGGCCTTGGATGAACAAATCGACGGTCAAGTGCTTGAAGGAATGGAGCACTAGGACAAGGAAGAAAACCAAGTTCATAAATCATTATTGTTTCATCCCACTTGTGATCATCATCGTCCTGAACTCAGAGCCAAACCAACGCTATCTAAACTCCTCACCCCCTTCTAAGCTGAAATCTTAGATGCCCTGGTTCGTGGAATCAGTTCAATGTGGTTATTTCTCATCGATGGGTCAACTCCTATTTGTCGAATTTACAAGAGCTAATCTTTGATATTTCAGTCTATAACTCAATTCCCCTCCTAAAACCCTAACCTAGTGAAAAGTTGTTGTTGAAAACCGCTTTTCTTCCCAAAACCGTTTTCTTGTAGTCCTTAAAACCCAGTTAAAGTTTTCTTACCCTACTCTAGACCCACAGTTCTGTCTATCCTGGACACTAGAGGGCACTACAGAAGTTAGCAATTTGTATCTAGGGGAATTTAGCAATTCCAGCATCGCTGTCCCCACGACCTCCCATAGCCACCTCTCTCACTAGATTGCTTCTTGGGCTTAAATCTACCATCAACCTTTTCTATTAAGCTAATGGATTTTCACCTTCCCATCCTCAACAATACTCCACTTGGACTACTTATTTGTTATGATCCTTGATACATGTTGTAATCCTCCACCAAGATGAAAAGGATACCACCCTTACTACTGCTGATGTTTACAGGACTGTCATGGGTATTTACGTAAAAAAACCATGACCACTCCTACAAACCGTTAGAGATGTTGATAGAGGGGAGAATCATTGTCGTTATGATTACTGATTGTAATCATTATAAATCATTTCCTTGTAATGACCATGAGCCTATATAAGTAAGATAAGCCAATAAGGCAGGTCATTCGACAATTTATCCCATTTCTTCTTCCTTCTTCAGTGATTTTGTGATTGTTAAATCCTCATTGAGCGACACTCCGATGTTATTGCTTGGGGGAGTTACGTATCTATTTCCATCTCTAAAAAGGATATATAACAATTGGTATCAAAGCTGGTCAGATCCATGGATGCATGGAGGGCTAGACTTGAAGATCGTGTCAGTCGCCTCAAGAGTAACCAAGAGCGGATTTGGGCTCATCTAGCAGAAATTGAAGAGAAGCTCAACTAAATCTTGCCTCCGACTAGTTCACTAGAGGAACACAATCGTCGAGCTTCACCTGTGGACACTAGTTCTAGAAGTCTGGTCGTAGCATTAAGTTTGCCTAACTTGATGGAGGTTTACAAACCAGGGCCAACTCCGCCAAGTTCCATCGGTGATGCAAGGTTGAAGACTCTGATTCTTAAAGAGGCACAAGAAGTTCACTCCGATATGGTGACCATCAGCATGCTGAATAACAACTCTAGAATGACCAACACTCCCTTCTCTTACAAAATCCCCCTTCACCCCATTTTCTTCTTGCTCTCATTGAACCCTAGTCTTTTTATCACCCCCTCCTTCAAACAGACAACGACTTTCGCCATAAACCAATCTCAGGTTACCTTGTTCTCTCCATCTCGTTTCCCAACCATAGCTCAAACTATCACCTTGTCCTATCTCTATTACCTTTTCTTCCTGCTTCTATTGATGAACCCCCTCCTTGGCCTAGCTTCCTACTTCCTTTGACTTTGTTGTTGAGTTCAAACTTCTCTAAGATGGCACCCTCACTTTATAGCAACAATTACAAGCTCTGGCATTGTGTTATAGAGGATCATGGTGGTCAGAGTGCCTTTGACAAACAATGCCAGGGTGGAGGCAGATTTCTTCTAAGAATCTAGTATCAGTGGTGCATGAAGATCACTGTAAACCACCCAAGATTCACCATCTTGTTTCTTGTTGCAATAAGCATGCTCTCACTCACTCCCATGATATTGAGATTCCTCGCTCGCAGAGACATATTGGTGTTGCAGACGCATGACTTCTACACTCCCTATGCATTTGATCAGCTTGGGGGAGACAGAAGTTACAATTACATCAAATAAGTCTGCCATGTTTGAGACTCATCTTGGGGTTCTGACAGCTAGAGCCATGGTGAATCATGTCAAGCTTAATTTAATGATATTCATTGTTAATTTTCTAGGACTTTTGGAAGAAAAAACAAAGCCATATGCGTCAATCAATGTTGGCTCAACAAAGAGGCCCCCAATGTTTAAACCATTCTCGACTTCTTCTCCTGGTTCCCTTGTCCCACCTTCTCATCGGGAGTTAGCCATGGTTGCTCTATTTGCTATGTGCCACCTTGCGGAAAATCAAAGAAGTGAGCAATTGATTCTAGCTTCCATCATCTGACGTTTGGAGCACAAGAATGTCTCAAATGATTCCTAAGTCAAATTTGATAGTTTTTGGATAGACATTGGTTTGGATCAACAAATTCGAACACAAATTGTAGTTGTTGAAATTGGGATTATCAATGATCTTGGCAATCCTTATGAGCACATGAGGAGAAGTCTGCATGTGGGGAACAAATTATCTAGACTACAAGAGGTAAAGTTAAAAACTTTGCTACACAACTCAACTAGAAATCATCAGTTAGAACTGTGATGCTCGACCACTAATTAACAAAACGACTATACTATTGGGGAAGCTTTTCGCATCTAGGAGTTGATGCAAAGGCAAGGTAAAAATTTTATTAAAGAAGGATGAAAAAGATACAACAATTTTCAGGCATCTCACACCCAAAAAGAAGACATGTTACAGACTCCAAACGAACTAAGTACAAAGCAAATGGAAAAGATTCTAAGACTTAAACTTAGAATTAACTGATAGACAAGAAGCAAGCTTAGACATTGCGCTCTGAATTAATTCCTCCAAACTTCTCACTTTGTTGCAAAAAATTCTGTTATTTCTTTTAGTCCATAAAGTTACTAAGACAACCACATGGGTGGTTCTCCATATCAGATTAACCTTTTTCTTTAGGCCCGACAAATTCCAATAGCATAAGAAATCCTTAATTGAACCAGGCATAACCTAGCAGACCCCATTTGCTTTAAGAAAGTGCTCCCAAACTCTTATAGAGATCAAACAGTGGATGCCAAGATGATCAACTGTCTCCGGCAAAAGCCCACATAAGCCACAACTAAGGTCTGAAAGCTAAACCCCTCTCCTAACCAAATTAGCTCTCGATAGGCACTTATTTAGAACCATCACCCAAATCAAAAAATTATGCTTAGGTGGATTAATAGAATTCCACACCTGCTTGCTTGGAAAATCAAATTACTTGCTCTACTCAACTTTGAAGCCAAAGATTTAACAGTAAAAACACCATCTCCACCTCCACTCATTCTCCATATTAGCAGAGATAGAATGCCTCGGTAACAGTTGTAGAAGTGCCAACAGCTGATTCATCTCCCAATCAAAAAGATTTCGTCTAAAAAGGGGACACCAGAAGATTGATTCCCCAGTCACATCATAAGAATCAACCATTTAAGCCTTAGGGCTCAAGGCACACTGAAAAAACAACGGAAATGCTTCATCTAGGGAGGTGTCTAAACACTAGGATTCCTTCCAAAACTTCAACATGTCTCCCCTACCAATCTTGAGAGCGAGGCCATCAGAAAAAGTCGGGAAAGATTTCAAATTCCTTTCCAAAGTGAACACCCCTAGCTCTAAAAGGGATCCAAAGATTTCCAATTACCCCAATCCACCCCATATTTCGAAGCAATTAGAGTCCTCCACCAAGCATTCCTCTTGACACCAAACCTCCAAAGCCATTTACTGAGGAGAGAAGAGATGAAAAACCTTTAGCTTCCTAATACCTAACCCACCATCCTCCACAGGGAGGCAGACCTGATCCCATTTAACAAGATGACGAGGTCGTTTGGCAAGTCTTTTTTGAAAGATCTTTTGGAAGCTTTGACAGTCAAAAGACGATGTGAGCTTTTGCACCAAGATCTTAACAGCTTGAAGACCGTTTGGTTAAGGCATGTCTGTCCATGCATCTTTTCATGTGAAGATGAGTTAAAAAAAGGTGAAAAACTCCATTTAAAGCTTTCCAAAAATAGTCCGAAATGGGCTTCCCGTGTCTTTTCGGGGCTGCGGCTTTTGGCGGCTAGATCTTTTCCCAACCAAATAGGAAAAAACCAAAATGTGGGTTGTTGGGCTTCTAAAAGGCCAATAGCCCGCACGAAAAGACGTGCCAAACGAAGCCATATTTTTCTTTCTTCCGCCCACCCTCTCCACAGAAAATTTCTTTAAAGGGATTCCATCTTTTTTGCTACTTTGGAAGGGATGGGGAAGAGGGATAAGAAATAGGGTAAAATACAAAAACCTCCCCTGAAGTTTCTAACAATCATAAAAACTTCCCCTATGGTTTCACTTTAGCAAAAACCTCCCCTTTATTTTTGAAAAAATCGACAAATACCTCCCCTCCATCAATGACCAAGACGGAAAACGCTAAACCTATGATATTTTTTTTAAATACCTATTTTACCCTTTTACGAATTAATGCGCATTTATTTTCACTAAAATACCTCATTTAACTAATCGGAAGAGAAATATTGTTCATTG